GGTGATTTCTCAGACGGTTATTGATGATTTATTGGGGGATTTTTCCAGGTACTTCGAGGAGGGAGATCGGTCTGTAGTTTAGTGGGACGGCGGGGTTCTTTCCTTGTTTTGGTTTGAGGATAATAATGGTCTCTTTGAATTTAGTTGGGAAGTAACCCGAGGCCAGTTCATTGTGGTTCTCAGTTTCTCCATGGCCGGGATGTTTATGTGGTTGAGGATCTCCTTGGTGATGCCTGAATAGCCAGGGGCTTTATTTTTGGTATTGGAGATGGCTGTGTTGGGTTCTTCCGAGGTGATTGGTTTGGACAGTGGGCTGTCCACTCTCACATCCTCCCATATGATTTCAGGGGAAGGTTGAGTGCGGTGTGTCTAGCACCGGAGTTCATCAAGGACGAGCTCCTCGTGGGTACCATCGAATCCCCTGTTCTCTTCATTTGTGATTCGGAAGATGTTCCTCCATATGTCCCTGAATATGGGTTCTTTGTCTTGGTCGTCATATATTTTACTTCCTGCATGGTCAGTTATATATGATGACTCGTTACGGCTGCAACCTTTCGGTCTCTTAACTTGACTCCAAAACTCTCCTGGATCGTTGTATGTATGTGAGAGTTGTTCAACTATTTCGGCCCATTTAAGGTTGCTTTGTTTTAGAGATCTTGTTTTTATTTCCTCCCGCATTCTTCTGTATGTATTGTAGCTTACGATGTCCCAACCATGGGTCTCGACTCTCTGTTGTAGCAGTTGGAATTGGTTTCTGAGGGCTATGAGTTCTGGAGTCTGTTGTGGGTGTGGGAGAGTTCTGTTGCGTTTGAGAGGCGTGGCCTCCTGGTAGGCTGTTCCTATGGCTTCACACCATGTGTTGATTTCTTCGTCTACTTTGTTCACCGGCTGATTGTCTATGGTCTGCAGGATTGTCATGTCCTTGGCCTTAGGTTTGGCTGTGGCTTTTTCATTGAATAGTTCCCAGTCGGTCTGCTTGGCGATCCTCCGTGGTGGAGCTGGTATAGTTATTGGTGTTTCTGAGATGGTCATGATTATAGGTAGGTGGTCGCTTGAGGTTACAGGGCATTGTTCAAAGAGATAGTTGTGGAAGCATCTGCCGTTTGTTATTGCTATATCTGGAGTAGTGGCTGAGTTCCTACTGTAGAGCATGGGGAAGTCCGGGTCTATTAGCTGGGCTTTTTTGTCTGTTATGAAGCCAGCGAGGCCTCTTCCAACATTGTTAGTTGTCCTCTTACCATCTAATAGAGGAAGTCTGGCGTTCATGTCCCCAATGATGTATGTTGGGTGGTGGTATGATAGGAGTCTGTGGAAGTCCCCGTAAGGCAGGTAGTCCCTACGTGGTGGGAGGTAGGTTGTGGCTATTATGATTGGTCCTGTGGTCAAGTTGATTTGAAGAGCGAAAGTTTCAGAGGTGAAGTCGTCTATGATTCTGTGGTGGACATCTCTTTTTATGGCGATGGCCACCCCGTCATTTGGCTTCTCTGATAGATTGGATTTATGGATCCTGTAACCAAATATTTTCAATTCCTCAGACGCCTTTTGGCTGTGTGAGTTTATGAGTATAATATCTGCGTCAACTTGGTTGTATTGGCTGGACAAACTGAATTTATTTGATGAAGTCTGTTAAATCGACCTGTTTTTGTTTAATGGCCTCGTGGGTGTCCGCATCGGAAGTGGAGTGGTAGTACTTCCATTTCATCTTGTGATCAATTACTCCTTTAGCGACTTCATCACGTTACAGTCCTCGTTGATGTTGTCTGGTATGTAGATGCATAGTTTCAGGTCCTTACCTGATAGATCGCTTGGAGTCTGAGAGACAGGTATCATCCCCGATGCGGGTACTTGTGCACCCACACCAAAGACTACTGTTCTTTCCTATGGGATTGTTGGAGTCTGAGAGACATGTATAATCTCTGGTGTGGTTACTTGTGCACCCACACCAGAGACTACTGTTGTCTCCTCCGAGGTTGAGGATGTTGCCCTGAACAGTTTTGGGATGGGCAGATTGTGGTGGCGTAAGCATTTTTCGATTAGTGTTTGAAAGCAGCCTGGGTGCAGAATATCCTCCTCATGGGCGTGTTTGACAATCATGTTGGCTAGAGTGTCACGGTCATGGAGGTATTTGTCTCTGGCATTCAACAAGACTGTAGAGTCTGTAGTGGCTGCAGGGACCATAGTAACTGCAGAAGTCGGGGTCCCTACCATCGCTACATCTCTGTATGTCAGTGCAGTGACTGCAGGATCGGGGTCCCTATCGGCAGCACAGCCTTGTGTGGTGATACTGATGTTTTTGTGGCTTTTTGTTGTGCTTCCTTGATGTTTTCCTTTCTTTTGGGACAGTTCATGGACATAGTGCTGTAAGACCCATCACAGTTAAGGCATTTTAGTGGTGCATTACATTGGGTCCAGGTATGTTCCCTAGAGGAACATTTGGAACAGATCTTGTAGTCCCTGAGTTTGGGGCAGTTCACACTATCATGAGCGTCAATGGCATAACACCTGAGGCAGGTAAGTGTATGGTGATACTGTTCTTGTTGTATTTGGTGGTACGGTATGCTATAGGTGATTGCGAGGAGACCTGATTTGATTGCCTTTTCAGCGACCTCGGTGTTTTTGAACTGAATTTTGATTATGCATTTGCCTTTTTTACTGGTGAGTTTTTTGACATAGTCCACCTTGTTCTTCGCCCAAGCGTTTTCTCTTTTCAATTGCTGCTTTTATTTCCACTTCAGACTCTTCGTGCACGGATTCATCCGTTTGGAAGCGGAGAACAGTTCTTTTAGCCTTCAAGGCAGCAGGCAGGATTGGGTCATAGTGCTCTTCCCTTTGATTGTCTATGCATCTCTGGTTATCCAGGTCTTGGTCTTCAAGCATGAGCATGATGAAGCCATTTTTTTATTCTATTACGTTCTGGTAGCTGACATTGTGTTTGCGAACAATTTCTATCAACTTCCGCTTGGTGGACCTGTCTGGTGACCTCTGGTCTGTGATTAGTATTTTCGCTTTGACAGTCATTATTGCTTCTTTGAGTGAAGCAGGATAGATCGGCGCGAGTTTTGTGCGTAGCCTAGAACATATGTATAGCGCTGTCAGTCCCACGTTCCCTATGCCGGCAAGAAAGAGGGCCGGGATATCAGTTGCCCCACTGTCTTGGTTGAAGGTTTTAAAGACCAAAAGGACAGTTCACTCCCAAGAACAGCAGTTTTATATGGCGTAAAGAAGAGGTTTAGATTCAGATTTGAAATGGTGTTCAAGTGTGTGATTGTGGTAGTGTCGCAGCGTTTGGCAGCATGGCACTGGCTGTGCGGGGTGGTTTTACCTATCCCCCCTCGACCCACTGACCCTCCCTGCCTCCCCTCCTCACTCCTTTACTCTCCATAACCGTTCCTTAATCATGAACTCTGATCTAGAAGAAGTGAGAAATGCAGAGAGACCTGACAGTTGTAGCATTAGTAAATATGACAAATTTTGTAACAAGAGGTACCGGTATGGCCAGCATAAGGACAGAACCAGACAATGTGATGTAGTCGTGGCCAGAATTAGGCTAGGATACAGACACATCTGGCAAGTTAGTAACGCTGTACCCATACCGGAACACTCAGCATGTAAACTTTGTGATAAACCTTTAAAGCATACACTTGAACACTATATTATTGAATGTGACACTGTCAAAGACTTCAGGCCACCTGACTTACTGTATCTTGAACTATGTAATTACTTCATTGAATCAGGTGTGCTTGAGGACATTCTTGCTGTTTATCCCAAATTTGCTAGCCCACACTGATTAGTCTTCAATTAGAATATGACTCCAATGTATGTGATCCACTGACCCATATATGCTGCTGGTGAATGTGATGTATTTCCTTCTTTGTGTACGAACCTCTGTCCTGCGTGGCAGTGAACAGTGGCATTACCCACATGAATCTGACCTATATATAGTGTCAATGAATATGATGCATTCTTTGTGTACGAACCTCTGTCCTGTATGGCAGTGAAAAGTGACATTACCCACATGAATCTGACCGACGTATATGTATGTATGTGTGCGTGTGTGCATGTATATGTACGTGTACATGTATATGTGTATGTATATACGTATATGTATGTATATGTGTGTGTGTGTGTGTTTACATATATGTATATGTACTGTCAATGAATATGATGCAACTCTTTGTGTACGAACCTCTGTCCTGCATGGCAGTGAACAGTGACATTATCCATATGAATCTGACCTCTATACATTTATAGTTGTTAATGAATATGATGTATTTCTTTGTGTGTGAACCTCTGTCCTGCGTGACAGTGAGAAGTGATACCACCCTCAGTGTCAAGACCTGACTGAATTACTCAGAATAGGCAAACTGTACTATAAGCTCTGCCAATAAATTTGTTAAACAAAAACCTTCCCACCTCCCCTCGCCTCACCCCCTGCCTATCCGCTTCTTACCTCCCATCCTCCCCCCCCCCCAACCCTTTTTTTTTTTTATTGGGCATCCCCCCTACATCCTTGTGTAAGGTGAAGCGCAGAAACGTTTACAGCGCCCAACAGGGTAGCATGCTAAGTTCATGCTTGCCTTTATGTCTCATGAGTTAAGGGCGTAGAAGCCTGAAGAGTCAATCGTTTATGTCATCAAGTTATTGGAAGCTCCAACAACTCCCTGAATACTAATTCGCAACTTTCGACTTACAACAGGTACCTGGTACCTACTTTACTACTAGGTGAACAGGGACTAATGGGGGCTAGGAAGTATGTCCAAACAACTTCCACCGGCCCGGGAATCAAACCCGTGACATCTTGCTTGCGAGGCAAGAACGATACCGCTTCTACCACCCTTACCTAATCACCCTCCCATCGTTACCCCTCCCCTCCTCACCTTTCTTACCCTCCCCTTCCTCTCCCCCATGACCCTTTCTCTCCCACCTGAACCTCCCAGTCTCATCCCTTGAACCTCCCCACCTCATCCCTCTCCTCACCCACCTAACCCCCCCTGCCTCACCTGTAGAGCTTGAGTACGATGGCGCCGTAGAAGAGGGTGAAGCCGAGCTCCCTGAACCAAGGCTCCACCATGCACAGCAACACCGTCGGCTCCACGTACCGCAGGAAGATCTGTGGAGAAGCGCCAGGAGTACTATTAGTTGAGGAAGTGAGGAGGAAGAAGATACATACAAGTTTCAGACGAGTATCGCGACGTCAACTGAGAACCGCTGGTGTACTTACCCTGATTGTATGTACTAATGATTTTTGTCTACATTATTGTGGATGGGTTATCGAAAATAAAATAGTCCCAGGTTGAGTATTGAGACCAGAAATATTACTACCAGCACTAGAATTTGCTACGTACTCACAGCTGATATGTGCTGGTGGAAAATTTCCTGTTCGTTAATGAAGTAATAGCATGGTGCTTTAATACCATCATTCTGTGTAATTGACAAGTGTTTAAAGTGACCATCACTATTGTCACTGTTGTGTAATAATACCCATAAGGAGGTATAATCATTGAATGTTGTAAATGGTAACTGAAGGTCTATTTTTGCTACTTATATAGTATGACCTACTGTATTGGTCAGTTCTATTTCGTCTACGTGTTACAGTAAAGTAATCAGTAGTTAAACTTAAGGTGTTGTTGTGAGTGAAGGTTCTAAGTGTCATCATATTCAGACTTGCATTTAATAAATAATGATTCAGTATAATGTGTGTATCACCGCTCATTCCTTCTAATAATGGCTCAGCCATGTTAATATTGTTATTATTATCCACTCTGTATCTGTGTTTTTATGGCTAAATAAACTGTTTCAATTCAATTCAATTAAATTCAATTCAATTCAAATACCTAACCTCTCGTGCATACCACGCTACCAATTTAATTGAGAGATTCATTGTCGTTGTTATTCTCAAGAAAAAGCCTGGGTGGTGGCAGCTCTAGGAGGTAAATACAGTACAGTAATTACACGAATGTGTAAGAATAGACAAGGAGGTGGTTTTCCCAGGTTAACCCACAAAACAGAATATAACGAAGTAAATCTGAGAATATAAGTATATAAGAGGAAATAAACAAGTAAGAGATACTGAAAGAAATGCAGTAAATACTTAGAGAAAACTAGGAGTTAAAGAAAAGAAAAACTTAGAAGCGAGAGTAAAAAAATATAACCAATAAGGCTATAGAAAACAAATGCCGCTCCGCTACACTCCGGGGCCTTCAGTGGGGCTTGATGCTCGAGAGCGTTTAACACAGGAAGATGATGTTGAGGGGACGCGCTAAGGAATATGGGGGGACGGACGAGGGGAGGCTATTGGTAGTGGTTAGGCTACAGTAAGCCCTCACACCAAGGGGAGAGGGGAAGAGACGAGAAGAGAGGGGAAGTAGAGAGGATAACTGAGATGATAGATTATATTATTTCTAATGGCTCGCTGTATTACTGACTATACAGTCGTGTAGGGTCAAATATACAGTCGTGTGGGGTCAACTATACACTCATCTAAGGTAAACCACACAGTCATCTAGGGCCAACCACGCAGTCATCTAAGGTCAACCATACAGTCATTCAGGGTCAACAACAGTCATCCAGGGTCAAGAAAAGTCATCGAATGTCAACCACAATGTCATCCAGGGTCAATCACACAGTCATCAAGGGTCAACCACACAGTCATCCAAGGTCAACCACACAGTCATCCAGGGTTAACCACACAGTCATCCAAGGTCAACCACACAGTCATCCAGGGTCAACCACTCAGTCATCCAAGGTCAGCCACACAGTCATCCAAGGTCAACCACACAGTCATCCAGGGTCAACCACACAGTCATCCAAGGTAAACCACACAGTCATCCAGGGTCAACCACACAGTCATCCAAGGTCAACCACAAAGTCATCCAGGGTCAATCACACAGTCATCAAGGGTCAACCACACAGTCATCCAAGGTCAACCACACAGTCATCCAGGGTCAACCACACAGTCATCCAAGGTCAACCACAAAGTCATCCAGGGTCAATCACACAGTCATCAAGGGTCAACCACACAGTCATCCAAGGTCAACCACACAGTCATCCAGGGTCAACCACTCAGTCATCCAAGGTCAATCACACAGTCATTCAGGGTCAACCATGCAGTCATCCAAGGTCAACCATACAGTCATCCAGGGTCAACCACACAGTCATCCAGGGTCAACCACACAGTCATCTAAGATCAACCACACAGTCATCCAAAATCAATCACACAGACACCCAAGGTTAACCACTCAGTCATCCAAGGTCAACCACACAGTCATTCAGGGTCAACCACACAGTCATCTAAGGTCAACCACACAGTCATCTAGAGTCAACTATACAGTCATGTAGGGTCAACTATACAGTTATATAGAGTCAACCACTCCATCATCTAGGGTCAACTATACAGTTATGTAGGGTCAACCACACAGTCATCTTGGGTCAACCACACAATCAACTAGGGTCAACTATATAGTCATGTAGGATCAACCATACAGTCATCTAGGGTCAACTATGCACCCATCTAGGGTTAACCACACAGTTATATTAGGTCAACAACACATTCATCTAGGGTCAACTATAGTCATGTAGGGTCAACCATACAGTCATCTAGGGTCAACTATACACTCATCTAACGTCAACCACACAGTCATCAAGGGTCAACTATACAGTTATGTAGTGTCAACCACAGTCATCCAGGGTTAACCACACAGTCGTCACCCCTGGGACACAGGGTCAAGACCTATTCAGGAGCTACTCCTGCTGAGCAGCGGCCACCCTTGGCCATGTCGCCCATCCCTAACCCATCTACACCACCGGGATATCAATATAATCAAAAGTGACAATTTTGTTTCAGAAAGAAGTAGGATCAGTGTTTAACAGTGTTGAACAGTGTTTAAGCCAGTAAATTCACCACTAGACAGTAACCTTGAGAGCCATGAGTGAGATACGCACCCCTGGGAACCATCCTCTGACCAGACGGTGTTAATCCGTCCACCCTGGGAACAATAGCAGCCCGGCTTTACACCTGACTACGAGATAACACAACATGACCGAGCAGAAAGTGAGGTATTGTGAAATCACCCCACACCACACCACACGGTGTACCAATGACAACGAGAGCCCCTTCACATCAAGACCTTTTTTTTTTTTTTTTTTTTAGGTTAAGGTGGGGAATGAAAGGAAGGTATGCTGGGGCTCAAGGCACAGCCAGACATGAGGGATAGAGATGTCACAACATATAGTAGTGGGGGGAAAGGTTGGAAAAGAAGTTTAATCAGTTAAACAGAGGGGGACGACACCCCTTGTTTTACATATTACAGAGTTTGTTGGCTAACTAAGCTAACCTAGGATTTAGGATGAGGTCGCACAATGGTTATTTTAGTAGACAATGACTAGATTGATTTTACAATTGCAAGTTTATTAAAATCTTATACTGTATTACGTTATGGACTCACTAGATTGTGACTTGTTACATGTGAATTTATATCATCTAGGTTTTGATCTAAGGTGGATCACTTTGGCGGACACAGATGGGTCGCGGGTTGGGTTGTTGTAGTGCGGGCAGACTCCGGGGCCACCAGGAGTGGGGTCGCCCTCGGTTGATGTCTTCCCCGCGTAGGTGGTCTGGGCTGTGAGGGTCGTCCAGGCGCTTGTCCCAAACCTTCTTCCCTAGGCGATGGAACCTGAAGTTGAGGGCCTCTGTTTTATTTCTTAGGTGGATGGTTTCCACTGTCTCCTGGTAGGGTGGCGCTTGGCCACTGGCTGATCTCAAACAATTGTTTTGGAAGTTCTGTAGTTGTTGTAGTCTAGTCTTCCCGAGTGTGACGAGTAGTATAGACGGGCACTCCAACACAGGCCTCACCAGCGCCTTGTACAGGTGAACTTGTATCCTCTCAGGCATCAGTTTAAAACGTTTTAATTTGGCTGCGGCGACTTTGGCTTTATTTAGTCTGTCCTTCACATGGGGAATTATGCCCGTCCGAGAGATGACGAGGCCGAGCAACCTGCCTTGTTTAGAGTACTCAATCTCTTCGTCGTCGATCATCAATGGCGCCGGCTTGAATTTGGCTATGGGTATGACCTCGAATTTCGTTTTGTTTGTTTTTACTTTCCATTATTTTCATACTCCGAGATACCCTCTATTGCCCGAGCAGTGAGTCGCGCCATCCTTGTTGTGGACCTTCCTGGGCAGGTGACGATCTGTGTTACATCGTCGGCATACAAGACGTACTCGCTGCCGACGATTGGGGGTGGCAGGTCAGCCGTGTAGAGTGTGTAAAGGGTTGGTGAGAGACAAGAACCCTGAGGCACGTCGCTCGATAGTGAGAATTCTTCTCCAAAATGTTCTTGCATCTTGATTTTGGCTCTGCGGTCCATAATGAAGTTGCACAGCAGGCGAGTCAGATTTTCGGGTAGCCCCAGTTGTATGATCTTATACTGCAGCCCTGCATGCCAAACTTTGTCAAACGCCTTGCTGACGTCCCTCAGTACTATGTTGCACTGCAGGTGGCCAGTCATGGCATTGGCTCGTAGGCCTAAGCTATGGCGGTGGATGTGCCTCGGTACTGGCACTATTTTTTCGAAGATTTTGGCAGGTACATCAAGACCTGAGGACGAGTCACTATACCACGTAAACACCACACCACCCGGTGTCCCCATGACCACGTGAGGTTCTTCATATCACCACCCAAGGATGAGTCACTGCAACACGTAAACACCACACCACCTGATGTCTCCCTGATCACGTTAGGTCCTTCTTATCAACACCCGAGGACGAGTTACTGCACCACGTGAACAACACACCACCTGGTGTCTCAATGACCAACCCAGGTCCGAGTCATCAACTGTAAACTATAATAATTTGTATGCTCAATTCATGTTCCTTATTCTTTCATTAATGAAAGCTATTTTTAAACGACCCACCCACCCCATGTCTTTGTAAGTAATAAGTAATTTTTGTCCAATGTATATTTTCAGCCTCTGGGCTGCAGAACTTTTTCAATAAAGCGTTAATTATTATTTATCATTATTATTATTATTACAGTGAGGCAGGCACAGTAGACTTACGTGTGGGGGGAGAGCTCCTGGAAATTCGGAGATTTCTCGGCCCCATCGGGTCGTATGGCCATGATCCTTGTCATTCCCTACGGGGGATCAACTGGGGCTCAAGAAGAATACATTAAACCTGATCTAAGCATCACAATAGAGAACTAACAGTATTTTATCCTGTTTATGCCCGGCCGGGCACCCCAGCTCAGTGTGTGTGAGAGGAAAAGCCTTAGGCCTGGCGGTCAGAAGCTGACACCCCTCCCCAGCCGTGAGGCCACTCTCCTCCCACCACCTCCTCCCACAGTCAGTGCCACCCTGTGAAACGTTGCGACACTAAAACAATGACAAACTTGTACTCCATTTCAAATCTGAATATTAACGTCTTCTTTTTTCCATACCAAACCGCTGTTCTTGGGAGTTAACTGCCCTTGTGGTCTTTAAGACCTTCAACCAAGACAGTGGGGCAACTGATAACCTGGCCCACTTTCTTGCCGGCATAGAGAACGTAGGACCACATAACTAGCGCCGAACTATCGTGCTTTACTCAAAGAAGATATTTTTTAGATTGCCCCCGAGGGGGTTAGTTTATTGGGCACCCCCTTACATTCTGACCAAGGTGAAGCGCAGAAGCGTTTACAACGCCCATCTGGGAAGCATGCATAGTTCATGCTTACCTATATGACTCATGCATAAAGGGCGTAAAAGCCTTAAGGGTCATGGGTTTTGTCAGCAAGTTACAAAAAGTGACAGAATGATGAGAGTGTGGGTGAAAATTCCCGGTCCAATTTATCTGCTTATGACAAAGCATGGCAGGTCCAAAATAATGTCAAGTGCCAGGCCTGTCACTAGGAGGAGGGATATCTGGTCAGGGAAGGAAGAGGTGTTGGTAACGGCTGGGGACCTGTGGTAGAGGTCATAGGGCAAGTGAAGATGTAGTGAGAGAGGGTGGGAGAGTCTGGTTGACCACAAAGTTTACAAACAGTGCGGCCAGGCTCAGGGTTGCCAATGTGCTAGCCGTGGCGAAGTACAGTGGGGGTGGAGATGATATGGTGTGGTGGGACAGGTACAGTAGTGGTGGAGGGAGGCACATAAGCATTGACAATATTACGGGACATACCTTTTAGTGTGATTGTGATGGCATGTGCGTCGGCATGCCGGTGGGGTATGGGTAGCCGGGGGTGGTGTCCTCAGGTCTAATAGGTAGCCCTAGTGGAGACAGCACAGACACAGGAGCGGGAGCGGCTTGCGGTGGGTGGACAGGTTGAGGCACCACTTGTTGTGAAGATGAGGCAGGACTTTGGTCGGGGGCAGCAGGACACACCAGGGCAGGCCCGGTAGGCGCTACACCAGTAGTGAAGGCCGCTGGCGGTGGAGTAGGCCGTGAGCAGGGGAGGCTCACAGGGAGACTACCAGCTTGTGTCAAACCAGAAGAGAGGAGTGACTGGGTGGCAACAGAGGGCAAGAGTAGGTCTGAGATGGTGGTACAGAGTGTAACGAAGAGTTTTTCAATATGGTTGGTAAATTCTTGGAAGAAGGATATGAGCTGTGTCATGTCACTGGAGGGGGGTTGTGAGGGGGCACCGGTGGGAGCACAAGACCTGACAGTGTCAGTGTAGAGACGGGGAGGAGGCCCAGTAGAAGTTGAGTTAGGAGAAGGCCGGGATTGCTGTGTTGCAGCCAGGTGAGGCCAGGCAGGGGCAGGTGTTGTTGAAGAAGGAGGCGTTGCTGGAGACTAGTGGGGTGGGGGGTTGTGGTAGTCGCGGTTTTCGGGAAGGCTTTTCCCCTGGGACAGACGGGCGATTGTGGCATTGCTGCGAGTCAGCATTGTGCCAGCCGCCACAGTTACAACACCTGGGATCAACCACATAGCCCACACCACCCCCATTACGGTGGTCTTTGATTTTCTGGGCACAGGCGGCGTAGTTATGGTTACATGAACAGAAGCGACATCTGGGACGATCACGTCGGCAGCAGGCAGTGAAGGTGTGACCCCAATGAGAACAGATAGCACAAAATGCAGGCCCAGGATGATAGGGTTCTGCATAAAGTGGAGGGAGGATTGGGTGGGCCTCCACAGTGGTTAGGCATTCCCTTCCCTTCCACTTGACAATGACAGCAGCTTGTGGGGTGTTCCCCCGGTAAAGTCGACGCATACTGAGTATACTCGAATTAAAGTCATTCGCATCTTCGGCTTCAGCGTATAAGGGTAATCATTTCACTAGGATGTGGCAACATTCATCAGCGTCTACTGGGGGTGGGGGGGCACCAGAAGAACCCCATCAAAGCCAACAGTACTAAGTGTTTCATAGACCTCAGGAGTCTGACACTTGATAAAGTTCCGGTTCTTACCTTGTCGAAATAGAATGTTTGAGACCGTATTGTCTGCAGTACTTCCTCATCCAATTAAACCGCTCCTCTATGGTTTTCAATGAGTCCTTGGGGAAGATTCAGCTTACTTGGCTGGTTGGCAGAGGGCAGGGTGATAGGGTCCATGTCATTGGTGTTTCCACTCCGGCTAGTGTTTCCCATAGAAAAATTAACGTCACTGTCATAATCACTGGGGTCTGACTCTTGAAGGGTGTTGGATTCAGTATGACCAGGCGAGTTGGCGATGGCATCCATATCAGAGATGTCTGCGTCTATGACAGAGCCTCTTTTGGGACGTTTATGTCGACCCTCCATGCTGGCAAAAACTTGTCGGCTGAGGAGACCTTTGTGGGACGATCGGGAAGTCAAGAGTACCTATGAGCACATCTGTCCCCTTATCTGGTCATGCCACGACTGACTCAAAGAAGCAATAATGACTGTCAAAGCGAAAATACTAATCACAGACCAGAGGTCACCAGACAGGTCCAACAAGAGGAAGCTGACAGAAATTGTGCGCAAACAAAATGTCAGATACCAGAACATAATAGAAACTAAAGATGGCTTCATCATGCTCATGCTAAGACCAAGACCTGGATCACCTCTTGTCCAGAAATGTGTAAACAATCTAAGGGAAGAACATTATGACCCAATCCTGCCTGCTGCCTTGAAGGCTAAAAGAACTGTTCTCCGCTTCCAAACGGATGAATCCGTACAGGAAGAGTCTGAAGTGGAAATAAAGGCAACGATCGAAAAAGAAAACGCTTGGGCAATGTACAAGGTGGACTCTGTCAAAATATTCATCAGTAAAAGAGGCAAATGCATCATCAAAATCCACTTAAAAAACACCGAAAGGATGAAAAAGCAACCAAAGCGGGTCTCCTCACATTAGCCTATTGCATACCGTACCACCAAATACAACAGGAGCAGTATCACCACACACGTACCTGCCCCAGGTGTTATGCCATTGACGCTCATGATAGTGTGAACTGCCCCAAACCCAGGGACTACAAGATCTGTTGCAAATGTTCTTCTAGGGATCATACCTGGACCCGATGAAATGCACTATTAAAATGCCTTAAATGCGGTGGGTTCCACAGCACCATGTCCATGCACTGCCCCAAAAGAAAGGAAAAAATCAAGGAAGCACAACAAAAAGCCACAAAACATCAGTATCACCACACAAGGCTGTGCTGCCGATAGGGACCCCGATCCTGCAGTCACTGCACCGACGTACAGAGATGTAGTGATGGTAGGGACCCCGACTTCTGCAGTTACTATGGTCCCTGCTGCCACTACAGACTCTACAGTCTTGTTGAATGCCAGAGACAAATACCTCCATGACCGTGACACTCTAGCCAACAAGACTGTCAAACACGCCCCTGACGAGGATGTTCTGCACCCAGGCTGCTTTCAAACAAATCTAGAAAAATGCTTACGCCACCACAATCTACCCATTTCATAACTGTTCAGGGCAACATCCTCATTCAACGTACAAAAACTCATTAAGAGGAGACATCAACTCGCCCACTATCAGGAACCTGAGAATCAGGCAGATACACTGACCAGTTTCCTCTGTCAGCAGAGTCAGGAACATCAGTCAACTGCACTGAGTAATCTAGAATTTACTAACCTAGACTCACAAACCCTGACTACAGTAATCTCAGAGGAGACAACAGTAGTCTCAGGTGTGGATGCACAAGTACCCACACCAGAGATAATGCCCAGACTCCAACAATCCCAGAGGAGACAACGGTAGTCTCGGGTGTGGATGCAAAAGTACCCACTCCAGAGACAATACCTGTCTCCCAGGCTCCAACAATCTCAAAGGATACAACAGCAGTCTCGGGTGTGGATACACAAGTACTTACACCAGAGACAATACCTGTCTCCCTGACTCCAAGCGATCTATCAGGTAAAGTCCTGAAGCTATGCATCTACATACCAGACCACATCAACGAAGACTGTACACGTGATGAAGTAGCAAAAGGACTAAGTGATGCCAAGATGAAATGGAAGTACGACCACTCCACTCCGAGATGGTCATCTACGAGGCCAATAAATAAAAACAGATCGATTTCACAAACTGCATCAAAAAATCATCCGAAACGTAAATCAACATAATGAAGAATGGACGCACAGAGAACAAACCACAAAACCCAGACACACGAAGAGCAAGAAACAATGGACACGCTACATAAAGCAGTGAAAATAATTTAACATAACGTCCTCCACTGGATAACTAATAAATTCAGTTTGTCCAACCAGTACAACCAAGTGGACGCAGATATTATACTCATAAACTCAGACGGCTAACTCGGGTACTACATGTCCACCCTCTCTGGTGGAAACCAGCAACCCTCAAAACCAAGTGACAGGAGCACCTCCCGCTCACTGGGAAAACCACCCTCAACAGTACCGGTCATCTTAATTCTGTTGGTTGTAGCACTTGTGAGTACGTTACCCCCACCCCCACACTATTATAACTTTCTTTGATCTTTCTTTATCACATCCCAGTGACCCTGAGTTTTTGCTGTTCCTTAATCAGTACCAATATTCCTACACTGATGATGGTAGGGTCGTTCCTTTAGATGTACTAAATCGTATGTGTTACACTCCCTTCACCCATGATGTCGACACAATACTCCCTTATATTGATCCTGATGCCTTTCTACGAAACTCACTGGGTTACACCAACGCCACACTGTGCCTATTA